TACAGAATCTGTACTAAAATATTGCCAGAAAAGGAGGAACACAGTTGCACAGTAAAGGTCTCGGAAACACAGCTGTGTGCTCTGCAAAATGATGTGCATGATTTGCTCTACCTCAGAGCCTCCTCTGAGCAGTTAATCACATCATCTTGCCCCCAGCAGCATTATAGGGCTGGCATTTTTTGTATACTTGTATTTTAAAGACAGATACTGCTGCCACTATTTGTTTTATTTTCACTTTCTCTGCCTGGCAAGGCAAAAGCAATACAGGGTGGTATCTTATGAAGTCTGTACACTTTAAGCTTGGGAGACGAAAAAAGTGCATTGGTTTTACATCTACCATTTGCTATGGGGGGGTTACAGACACAAAGAAAACAAGAAAATAAGAGAAAAGAAACATATTTTAAGTTAAAAATGATAGGGGAAATTACCTAAGTTTTCTTAAGTACTTGTGCATCATTTTGCTTTGTTTTTAATAATAGTGCTTTGCAAATATGCATTTATCTTGTCTTGATCCAATAAGACACAGGCTTCAAAGCAAGGCAGATGTTGAGCCCCAGCTTTCTTCGGCATAGCTTCCGTAATTTCATAGTTGAAAGGGAATGCATGGCTCTATGTATTTCAGGCTTCAGGGTAGGTAACAGATACCTCTAAAGACAGCATGTTTATCCTATAAAGGAAAGACTGATGTGGATCAGGACTATGTAACAAACACACCTAAGCAGTGGCCACCAAGTTACCTCTCCTTTAGAGGAAGTAAATCCGTCCTTAACCAGTACAACTTAGAACACTTTATTAAAAAAAATGCCTTCAGAAATATTTATTTGAAAGGAAAAAATACTCAAGCTGATGAAAATCAGTATTGGATTCAATAGGATTGGAATAGGATAGATATTGGAATTAATAGGATTTTTGCATTGGGATTTTGAGTCCCAGACTTTCGGATTTTTTCAAGAGTGAGAGGGAATGAAAAGAACGGTAACACATTTTGAGATTAGCTCTGTTAGTCATGTTACCAAGCAAGAACAGACAGCCTCCTTCACTTCCCCCATCTAAATCATAGTAAAGTTACTCAATAGATTGTTTCTGTCATCAGACAGTTATAAGAGTACAGAAGTAAAAGCTGGGTACATGTGTTAAATGGCCAGAGAGTAAATTGGATTTGTGAATAAACCTTGACATATTAAAAAGTATCACTTGAAAGTATGCTAAAATATAACCTTGGCTTAGTGGTTTTAATAGTTATGAGTCATGAGACAATAAGCAGCTCTTTATAGTCTGTCTCTGTGGAAAACCCTATTTAACAATGACCAAGTAGTGTTTTAAGCCTGTGAATAAGTAGCTCTCATCACCATGACTACTGTTTTAATTATTTTTATCACTGTTTGGTATAAAAGAAAAAAAGAAAAAAAGGCTCTAAAGGAAAAACCATTATTAGAGCCTTTACTGTTAAATTCCAAACCACATGAAAGAGATCACCAGAAGTGTCACAAATACTTTAGTACACAGAACAGCTAAGCATATGTTTAATGAGGCATTCTGATATCTCATAGCAAATAGATGTACAGTGGAGAGGGAGGTCTCCAGATTTTCAAAAGCTAGCTATCAGAGCACTAAACTGTTACAACAGATTACAATTAACTCTTTGTTCCCCCATTATAAGGATTGATGTACCTGACTGTTAGAGTGTGCATCCTATTACTTAGACAAAGATCAATTTCACCAAGCTGAGGGCTTGAAGCAGAAGAGACAATGGCAAAGACATTCTCTCCACAGTTGCTTTTCAGTAAAGATGTTACAGTCGTGGAATGAAACACCATACTAATGGAGTAATAGTCATGTTACCTAAAGTTAAGGAACAAGTTCTGACACCTTAGACAGCTAAGCTTCATGGGACCAAAATTCATTCTCGCATTCAACAACCAAAGCAATCCCAGCCAGGAGCAGTCATAATCCAGTGTGAGCCTGATTGATTCATTATATTCTTCATAGTTTCCTCCAGTAAACCCTGATGAAGTACAGTACTTTTTTTTTTTTTTTTTTTTTTTTTTTTTTTTTTACACAAGCCAAACTCTGTGGTTTATTCAGTTGAAATTTCAACTGACACGGTTCTGTTGTATTTTTATTTAAGTTTCATCTTGGTCAAAAGTAATTACACAGTTTAGTTGCTGTAATAAGGAAAGGCAATAAAATAGGTAACTGTCTTTGAGTTTTGGAAGTCAGAAGAGCACTCATATCTTTAAGTACTGTTCATATTTCAACAGATGAATTTCTAATTATATTTACTGTAGTTTCATACCTTACTTTTGGTCCTGCAAATGGATTATTTTTCTTCTAACACCCTGCTTAAATGTATTTTAAATTCTCATGTTAAAACAAAGCCATTAAGGAATTTATGGAACTAATCTTTAATAGAACAAGTAGTACACTATTTAGTTTAAGCCATTAAGTTCTTAAGAACCTATCAAAGTACATGAATTTAAAACCATTGCTAAGAGTTTGCAGATGAAGCAGAATGTTCTCATTCACACGTACACAGAACATTAAGAGCAAAACTGGAGAAAAACACCTTAAAGTTCAGTGAATTTTAGAATGCCAAAACAAGCAGACAAATAAGAGTACAAGTGAACTATACACAGGCATTACTTCTGGATTATTTTTCCCTCTTTACTCAGCTACTACTGTTATTCTATTCTATTGCCCATGTTTCAATATTACAACTCTCCAAGAGGACCTGATGGACACAGGTTGATTTCTTCTTTGTTAATACATTGCAAAAGAAATCAATCACATTCCTTAGTTAATTCTACTCTTCTCCAGTTTTTGAGTGCGTAGAAGCCTGCCAACCCTGATCTAGACCACGATGACCTAAAGTTTGACATAAGCCTCATTTACTCATGCACAACTTAGGTTTTGAAGTCTATGCATACATACAGTATGCAGACATGGAAGATCTCAGGAGAAAATATTGTTTACAGCAAATTTTGTTCACAGCAAATAGCTAATGTATTTAAAATCATAGCAAAAACAAACAAACAAACAAAACACACCTATGTGAATAGATTGCACTGAGCAAGTTACTCATGGAAGCTGTGAACTTGCCATCACTGAATGCTCTTTAGAAGGATAGACTGATCTTCATTTCACTTAGTATTCTGGCAAGCTTATTCCTTTGCACATAACAGATCTATTAACCCAAACTGTCTTCCTTCTAAGATGGGATTAAAAAATATTTACACTTCAAAATTTTATATTCATTCTCTTCCTTGTGTTGCTAATACCATAATGTATACTTCATAGTAAGTCTCAAAGGCAGAAAATGAATATGCTTTATTGTTTCAGAAGCTGCACCCTAGCTCCTCTGCTGAGCTATCTTCTGCACTGACTTCTCTTTGCAGGAGTGCCTCATGTGGCTTTTTTCTTCCCACTTCAGATCACAAATGTTCCTCATGACTGACTCAGTTACCAGTGGGAGGGATCTTATGATTTTGGGCAGCAGGAGGAAGGGATACACTCTGAAGTTCAGACACAAACTAATTGAATGGAAGAGATACAAGATCTGCAAAGTGCGATAGTTTGTTAAATTACTTGTCTGCTACTTGTCTAGGTCAGCACATAGCAATACCACAGTTTCACAAAGAAGTAACTGCTTAAAGAAAGATATCCCTGATTTTTCCTTAGCCCTCAACCAGGACATCATAAACTACTTGAAGTATTCATAAGAAAGCACAGCTAGAAATATTCTGCATGCACAGATAATGGTTGCAAATTAGCGTTTTCTCAGAGCATGACAATATGTTAGCATTTCTAACGACGAGCTGGCACTACAGTTGTCAGCATGCATAACTCCAATAGCAATAATGGGGACATACTTCATTGACCAAGAGATAGATTTGGCCTACAGGTTTTAATGACTTCCTGAGGACCTGATCTGGTTATTAGATTATACTGACAAGTCCTTAAAGTCTTAACTTACAAAGCTTATTGGATCATTCTTAACCTTGCCCGTTTATCTTCACTTCCAACTAAAGGAAGATTCTCAGTATACATGCTGAGCTATTGACACACATGCTGTGGCCTGGACATATCTGCACAAGAACAAAAGTACAGAGTTTCTAAGTTTATAGAAGTCACCAACAAAGGTTCAAATTAAAGTCTCTGGATTGTTTCTTGTTTTTCCTTTTTCTTATTTCAACCTCTTTGAGTTTACCTTTAACCATGTAACAGAGCAGAGAATAATATGCGTAATTCAGTGGACTAATCCAAGAGATATTTGCCACCCCAGATATCAATCAACAGTCCTACAGGAAAAAAAAACTAGCTCATGCCAATGAGTTTACACAACATTCCCTCGACTGTAAACCACCTTTAACATGAGACATAAGTAATCTGAAGCTCTATAACCTTTTCTTCATGTCTTCATGGTCAACTCTCCAGTACTGACTGTTACAGTTAGCTCCTCTTTCCCTAGGCTAATAGCAACCCAATCAGCTTAAAAAAAAAAATAAATAAAAAAAAAAAAAATAAAAAAAAAAAAATAAAAAAATTAAGAACTTGAACTTAAAGACAGAAATAAGGAAGGTAAAATAAAGTTATCTTCCACTCTCCACTGTATTACACAGAAGATTTTTTTAAGTCATCCATGGACATCAAATCACAGGGATTAGTAAAGAAAAACCTGAAAAATAACTGGCTGGATTGACAAATAGGTAATGTAGAAAGAAGTACCTTACTAGCAGATAGCAAACAGCTCTAATCTGCAACATACACACATGGTTTAGCGGATATGGTAGCGAGGGGATGAAGTAGATGATCTTAGTGGTCTTTTACAACTACAAGAACTCCACGATGACAGCAGCACTGCTCATCAGTGTAGCATTCAAAAAAAACCAACACAGTCAATACAACTTTTCTGCTGTGGAATAACAATCAAATTCAAACAGTAATGTTTCCATAGATTACACAGACTTTGATTTTTCTCACACACAAGACCACCTATTTACCCTAGTATTTGTGACCTCTGCTGTAGTCTCCAATCAGTCAAGATTTTGAACGTGAAGACAGACAGAAGTGGCACAACTATATGCATTAAGATTCTATAGAAAAATAGAGATAAAGCAGAAAGAAAATTAATTTACAAATATATTTAACATAGCATAGAAATAAAATTAAACATAAGACTCTCCAAATGCCTCCTTTTACTTCCATAGACAATACAATAGGCATAAAGAGAACAAAAGCACTGTAATGCAGTGGTAAGCACAGAAATAACAGCAGAACAGCAAGGTACCAGACTGCAGTAAGTGAGGATTTGCTCAGATGCAATAATCACAGACACAGAAAAGAAACTACTTACCTTCCAAAAGTCTCAGGTTAGCAGAGATCTCTAACAAGACACTCTTACACCACCACCACCACCACCAATCCTTAAGTGGGTTCTGGGAAGAGGTGGAGCAGGGATCTGCCCCTTACACTCAGGTACATTGCATGCACCTGAGCTCCCTTGGGTTGGCTCTGCCAAATGCTCAATTACTGTTTCAAGCCTTGACTTAGCATTTCTGCTACAAGCACGTTTTGATAGTGTAAATTCTCAGCTGCAAAACACTATTTTTCAACATAGTCACCACCACACCACCCTACACTTTTGCCGATGATGAACAAGATCCTGCTGGCAGTATTCCAAAATCTGCATGGCCATCTGGAATGTGGCTTGTCTTTCATGCCACTGTCACCACTGCTAAGATGCACCACCCACCTCATCACTGTGCCCACATCCACTGTTTGGTCCCTATAAACATTCAGCCATAGTTAATGAATGTCAGTGAGTGCCATTTTTTCCACGTGGAGGAATTCAACGTCACACTTTTCTGTCAGGCATCATTTTGTCAGAGTGCCCCTCTGCTGCCATCCGTCACATGGCAGCAAAATGTAATGGAATGTTGGTGGGAATGTTTCACCTTACTGCAACAGCACCACCAACCACCCTTGATGTCATGAACCAAAATTATAAAATCGGAGGCATTACTTTCAGAATAGCCCTCATCTATTGTAATCCTTCAGATTGTTATGTTTCATTGCATGCTGGAAGTGCACTCTCCTCTAATTGCTCTATTCATGTCGTATTTCATCTACACAGTTATTTCCCAATAAAAATGAACACAGGAAGACTTGTATGGGACCAGTGCATGTACAAAGTAGATTTTTACAGTTTAGTTTTGACGTGTAATAGGCCTGTAGAGTAAGCAGGAATATAAATATTAGTACCCCTAGTCATATCTTGGTGACTTATATTAATACAACTTGTGTATTGATGACAAAAAAGTCACAGAGCACACAGTGTATTCTGTATTGCAATGTGTCATTTATTTTATAGCTACAAGCAGTACATAATAAAAGATAAATAGTTTTCTATGGCAATATTTTTTTATCCATTTACTGATTGATTGGTTTGCTTGAATTCTCATACTTGTGAAATCCCAGTTATCCAGCTAAATGTGTATCAGGGCATGGGACAGTCAGAGCTATGTTTCTCTCTCACTTCATGGTGCTAGCTCAAAGATACTGAAGAATTTTGCCAAATTATTTGGCAAAAGAAAGCATGAACTACAATATTAGCTTCAGGTATGCAGTCAGTACTGCTGGTCACACCACAAAAGACACTGTTCACTTTGACTGTAAGTGATGCAAAATTTTATCAGATGCACCACGAGCTCATGAAATTCAATCTCCTTTAAGCAGCAAAACAGATAAAGCTGAAGCCAGATAGACAGATACTCCGTGTTCTTTCTGGGAAAACAAGGTAATCGAGCTCTGAATTATCCTCTACAAAAGATTGCCTCCCGCGGGGGTCCATGTAAGTCTGCCGTTATCTCAGCATGACAGCGGGAAAGCGCGAAGGTATAAGAGCTCCCGTCGGAGCATCCCGCTTCACTCCATACCCGTGGAATCGAGACGACGGGCGCAACACCGCCCGAGGGAGCGCAGCCGCGGACACCCCGGGACCGGGCGGGGGGATGCGGCGTTACCAGACCCCGCACCACAGACAGATGCCACCTGGAGCTCGGATTTCTCCCACCTTCCTTGTGCTGCGATCTGCCGCCGTCGGGAGGAGATGCGACTTGAGGTAACTGCCCCCCAAACTCCTTTCCTCCTCCCCCCTCTCCCCCCCAGGGAAAGCTCCAGCTCCTGAATTTTGCACGCTCCTCTCCGCTGTTACCGATGCCTGTTTGTTGTTCCTAGATCGAGATGAGCACGCGTTTAATTCCCAGCTGTGCTTAGGATCCGGCCAAGAAACCGCATCAGTGCACCCGGGGCTGCCTCCGGCTCCTGCCTACATCCGCCAGGGAAAGGTGAGCTTTCTCTTCCTCTGCTTTTAACACCCCCTGCCCCAGGAGAACGGGTGGGGTGGATTATTTTCGAGGATGGAGCAAGACTTTCCAACATTAAACTTCAGCGACCACCTCACATCCTGCTAGCCTGGCCCCGGGGCTCTTCACTTCCTATCTCTCAGCCCCAAGCATCCTAGAGACATCAGATCCCCTCTTTTCAGCTCTTGGCAGTCCTGCCTGGGAGAGTCACCCTGAACCCATCTGTGAAAGGAACTTCGGGGAGGGACTGGAGAACCCCTGCAGGGGGTCACCTTAAGGTGGTGCAGAACTCTGCACTGCCTTCTTCACCCCCAACCCATTAGAATCTTAGAATCACAGAATCGTAGAATGGCCTGGGTTGAAAAAAGACCTTAAAAATCATCTAGTTTCAAACCATGAGCAGGGTTGCCAACCACTAGACCAGGCTGCCCAGAGCCACATCCAGCCTGGCCTTAAATGCATCTATGGATGAGGCATCCACAACCTCCTTGGGCAACCTTTCCAGTTAGCTTGGGCAGAGGTCAAGGACAGTCAGAAGGGACTGTCTCTGTTACAACTGGATGATGGGACTTTCTGCCAGCAGCTGAGCTCTCAACAATGTCCCCTTGCTCCCAGCAGGACATCTCTGGTGGGACACACATGGGAGCAGAAGGGAAGACACCAGTTGGTTGGATGCTTTGAGGAAGCAAGCTTGAGAATAACCAGGTTCCTTGCCTTTCTCTCCTAGCCCTTCTTGCTACCAGCAGGTCTAGGCCCTCTGCTGTGACCATGGAAAATACCTCTATCCCTGAGCTCAATTCTACGTGTGTGGCTGGGCACACAGACTGTGCAAGGAGAGGAGATGAGGAGCTGAATATTCCCACTTCCCCACCAAGCCCCAGCTCCTACATCACGATGCCTGTCATCTATTCCATCATCTGCGCTGTGGGACTGACAGGTAACACCGCTGTCATCTATGTAATCCTCAAAGCCCCAAAGATGAAGACAGTCACCAACATCTTCATTCTCAATTTAGCCATTGCTGATGAGCTTTTTACCTTGGTGCTGCCCATCAACATTGCTGACTACCTGCTCCTACAATGGCCCTTTGGAGAGTTCATGTGTAAGCTCATTATCTCCATAGACCAGTACAACATTTTCTCCAGCATCTACTTCCTCACTGTTATGAGTGTTGACCGCTACCTTGTTGTAGTGGCCACCACCAAGTCCAGGAAGATGTCTTACCGCACCTACCGAGCTGCCAAGATTCTAAGCCTCTGCATCTGGTCCTTTGTCACAGTCATCATCCTGCCCTTCACTGTCTTTGCTAAGGTACACAAGGAGCAGGGGCGCTCCCAGTGTGTTTTCGTGTTCCCTCATCCTGAAATCATGTGGTGGAAAGGCAGTCGGATCTACACCCTTATCTTAGGCTTTGCTATCCCAGTGTCCACCATCTGCATCCTCTACACCATCATGTTGTGCAGATTGAGACGTGTGCATCTTCATAGCAATGCAAAAGCCCTGGATAAAGCAAAAAAAAAAGTGACGCTGATGGTGGTTGTCATCCTGGCTGTGTGTCTGTTCTGCTGGACACCTTATCACCTTAGCACAGTGGTGGCCCTCACCACAGATATCCCACAAACTCCTCAGATTGTTGGGATTTCCTACTTCATCACTAGTTTGAGTTATGCCAACAGCTGCTTCAACCCTTTCTTGTATGCCTTTCTGGATGATAGTTTCCGGAGGAGTTTTCGTAAACTGATGGACTGCAGGACCACCTCATAGAGCCAACACCATACTCTCTTCTTACCACTGTCTGCTCTTTCTGAGGGTACTGAGCCCAAAGAGTGCTTTTGCTCCAGCCTTCCTGTGATGGTCCACAGTGCTTCAGATTGTCTCACTGCCCGAAATACAAACTAGGGACAGATGGGTCATTCTCAACTCAACTTTCTAGCACCTATTTCCTCAGCATTGCTTTCCATCTCTTTCCCTCGTGTTTGTTTTTTCCCTTCTCTCTCATGTGCTTTCTGTCCTAATGTGATAGCTCACACAGCTGCAGCAGATCCCTTTTCTGTTTTAAAATTTATTGCCTTGTGAGTTTAAGCCACATGACTCTCACTGGAGATTTGTAAAGCCAAATAAAGGTGTGTTGTGAAGTGTCTTGCTTAATGATTCCTCAATCTCCTTCATATTCTCCTTACTTCTTACAAAAACTATCACAAATTTACCAGTACTGAAAAAGGCAGAGCTCCAAAGAATGAACAATAAACCAAGGCACTGGGTAGGGAATAAGCCAAGGGAAAAAAATAAGACACAGGTTATTTCATACAGGAAAATGAGAGAAAATAACACAAACCCATGAGAACAGACAAGAATGACTTCAACCTTGCATTAGGGATGAGCCATCCATCACTGGCAAATAAAATAGCTAGATATGGGTTTAGAACCCACTGTGGAAAATAGAGTAGTTCATGGCTGTATTTTCAGCTTTTTTTTTTTTTTTTTTTTTTTTTTTCCAGAATTGATGTTTACTTTATTATTCATCATCTATTTATGGTCAATTGCCTTCCTGCACATAATTTTATTTCGGTCCTATAAAATGAAGGTATTTTTAATACAAATTGGCCCTACTGCAACGTGGAGAAGATTCTGGCTTCTTCCCTACAAATGATAAACGAGTAGATCTTAGATTACTTCTAACATTAATGAGAAGGAGAGAAAGGATCAGTGGAAATTTCACCAGCATTTGCATGTCTACACATTGCACAAAGTGGCTTTTTTCTCTTTTATCCTGTGTTAGCCCTCCAAGGAAAACTGAATAAAAGTATGGAATACTGCGAAAATAGTTGCAATCTCTTAGTATTTTCTCATCTTAATGGTCTTCCTTGTACTTTTACCTATGAGTACAGAGGGGCAGAGAAACGTAGTTAAAGAATTGCATTTTCACTTACATGGGAAAGGAGAATGGGTTTCAGGAGGTCCACAAAGACCTGTGCAGCTCATGCTCAGATTTTCAGATGCCTCCTGAGAGTCCTTAGCAGCAAGTCCCTTCCCACTGCTGCAGCCTAATGGTCTGCTATAAACATGTGAAATGTTTATCACATCATTCCTTTAAAGACCCCAAACAAGAATTTCACTTTCAGATTGCAGCAATTTTACAAACTCTGATATATTATAGTATCATGTAACTGTGTTGATGATTAAATCATTTCCTCTTACTAACATTCTGTGAAGCAGACAGTGCTCATTTCAAAACCCATTCCAGAAGTAATGGAAATGGAAGGATTACTTTGGGGAACAACTGTGTCTAATTCAACTTCACTGAAGCCAGTGGGGAGCACGCAATTGATTTCTACCAGGTACATAAGCTGTCCTTTGTCAGAGCATGTCCAGAAAGTGTTGAGAACGAATGTGCTGCAGGAACTGTTGTCCTGGCTTCATCTTGCTGCCTGCTAAGAAAGGTAAAAGAAAGGGGTGGTCTTTTCCCCTCAACTGACTGTTGTTTCAACTATGCTTGTAATTCATAATGATGTCTCTCTTTGGTCAACAACTTGCTGTGCAGGAAGGTCTGTGTATCTCAGCATCTTCCTCTGCATGATATACTTTCTGGCATATTAAACTGCATGGAACAAAGAACAAAGTCTGTCTTCATTCAGGCTATCAGTCTGTGCTCACAGCGCTCTACTGTCATGTCCACAACATTACTAGTGTGGATTTTGCATGCAGTTTTGATACTAAACAACATTCAATGAAAAGATATTTTTCAAGATTACTGTATTTTCATTGCTTACGGATCCTTCTCTGAAAATTAAAAAATGCAGGTGAAATATGTTTGCAGGGTATTTGTTTTTGCTGTGTTTGTGTTCTTTTTAGCGAAACAAGCACCTTAGAAGGAGTGGTACAGATTTAGCATTGCTCCTGATATCTATCACCTGAAAATGTTGATAACGCTGCTACACATTTGCCTTATCACCAGCTGGGATTTCTATTTACGGTAGAAATGCTACTTATTATTAAGGTGTTTTTTAATATGTTTTTGCAAAACTTGATCTTCACACACATATTAAATGCATTTCTGAGATGGTCAGTTGATATCAGCAGTCAGCCTCTTTATCTTTCTGATACTCAGTTCCTCTTCTCCCACACATGAAAATATGGGAAGTGCCATAAATTGCCACATTTCTTATGTTTTCCATTGTCTGTCTTTTTTTTTTAATCAAAAACTGAAAAATGCAAACATAGCATCACCTGTGGTAAATACAATCCTTTCATAAATTGTTTCTCATCCTTAATAGCAGATTGACCATCTGAGAAGAATTCAGTGTTTCCCCAAAAGCCTGGGGTTTTCCTGTGACACAGGGATGTCTGAGATTCAGCTTCAGGCACTGCAGTTTGAGAGCTGTGTATAGGAGTAAAGGTGAAGCTGGACAGCCTGGGAAATGCCAAAAGGTAAGTAAGGCCTCCTCTGATTTGCAGAGCTTCAATATTAAAGCAAGCAATCCATGTATTTTCTTCTACTGTGTGCTCTGTTTCACTGGGAAACAGAACATTCTGGAGGAGTCCAAACATCGCCAAAACTAGCATTTAGCAAGAGAGGGAGAGGTCAGATGTTTGGCTTTGCTTGTCAGCAAGGACAGTGTAGTGCTCTTTAGAAGCTAACCTTTGACTACCACAGCAGCACTAGAGGTAACATCTCTGCAAAATTTGTAGCCCACAAGTCTTTGTACTTCTTTTACAGGGGAAGGATTTATGCTCCTGTGCAGCCCGTACTTAACCAGCTATAATGAAATTCAGTAGTATCACATCTTGATACAGCACAGTTGCTGTGAAGATGTATTTATGAATATAAACAAAATATAAAATAAGTAAATTTTCCTCACAGTAGAAATTTTTTGTGTGACCTACTGCTGATACTGCAGATAGATAGGAGGAGGCCCACACAGTCTTAGCCAAACCCTTGCACTTCAGTTCAGGAAAGGAATACTCCAGGCTCTGTATGTATAAACAATAAGCATAGTAAGAACAGCTCATGGCAGACCAGCCCATGCCAATCAGAGAGGTCCCCAACCCTCTCAATCTTTCCACTTTATTTTAAAGTAGTTTCACGGTGGCCAATAGAGAAAGCTGTATAATTCTGCTATTCACTGCCCAGAGAGGCAGTGCAGTCTCCTTCTATGGAGATATTCAAGACCCATCTGGATGCCTACCTGTGTGACCTGCTCTAGCAGAGGGGTTGGACTTGATGATTTCTTGAGTTCCCTTCCAACGCCTGTGATTCTGTGATAAAGCATAATTACAACCAAAGGCAATTATTTAGTGTTTGTCTCTTGTATAAGAGAAAATAAGCAAATTCTTTCCCCTTCAGTGGAAAAGAAAAACAAAACCCTCTCGCATACTTGCTGGAGATTTTCCTTTTTTCCCGTTTTCTTCTATACCAACAAACTATCAACTCATTACTAAGATCATGCTGAGTACTTACAGAACTTGTACCTCCTCACAAAACATTTACACCACCAGAGGGAGTGAAAAGGCAAGATATTTAGAAAGGCACTGAGTGGAGACTCCAGTTCCTGCTGTTATTCTTGACATAGAGCATGCATTTTCTATGTAAATTCTCTTTCCTCAGATTTTTCTCACAAATATAATAGAAACAGGATATTAAAATAGCTTTAAGAAAGGGATAAAAAAATATAGAGGAAAAAATCATTGAGCTTAGGTCATAATTTTCTAGAGGTGTGATCCCAAAGCTGCTCAGAACTTTTGTTTCTTTATAAACGTGCTCATTGAATGTATAACACTTTTGAGTACCAAGAGCCACAAATGTCTGGATGCAGCTGAGCACCCATATCCTCCTGCACGTTCCCATTCGCAGTAAGCCTGCCCCAGTTCACAGATCTGGCCCCAGTTTACCTGAACTGGCCTTCAGGAGCCCACCTCCTGCACAGCTTATTTCACAAAGCAAACGCAGTGTCACAGAGGGAGACCAACTTTCCTCCCTCCCACTCCCCAAGAAAGGGGAAGGTGAAGCTGTCTGGGGGCAGGGATTTCTCTATCTTCATACCGTGCTTCCCACCAATTTCATCAGCTAAATTTACCCACTTTTTTCCTTTTTTCCTGTCCCTCGTTCCTGTTGTCCCCTGGCTGCAATTAGCATTTTGTACACTGAATCTCCTTCCAGCTCTCAGCCCCTAGGTGGCACTGATTTATCACCAAGAGGCAGTTATATTTTCCTAAACCAGCTTTGAAAACTACAAAATTGACTCCAGGGGCGACAGAAGATGCCCAAACTAATGCAAATTAGCCTGTCTTTAGAGAAATAAAATACTTGGATTTTTTGCTATAAGTTATACAATAAGTGGCATAAGTGCTCACAAGCAGGCTGAAGGAGAACAGCATTGTTTCCTTCATCAGTACTTGTGCTGTCAGGCAGATTGGATTCAGCTCCCCACACACCCAGGGAGATGTCCTGGCTGTTCCATGACCAAAGCTGTGATGGGGCTGAGTCTATGTTCAGTGGTACAGCAGACTGTGCTGGTAAATACAGTTATACCCTTGGATACATTTTAGTTTAGGCAAATCAGGGAAATGATCACTGTAAATGCAGCTTATTGAACCAGAGCAGAGCAGCAACTGAGCAGATTTTATTACTTTCAAATACAATATTGTGAAAAGATGTCCCCCTCCACAGGTTCATGACTGATATCCATAGACCTTTAAAATTGCTGTAGGTTAGTACTTTTCAATGGATGTTGTTTAAATAGCTGAACGAAGTCTGATGAAATCTTAGAACCCAGGACTGATTTAACTTTAATGATAGAATTGCTTGCATTGGAAGAGACTTTAAAGATCGTCTAGTTAAATCTAGATTAAAACCCCTTTCTGCTCCCAAATTCAAGTTCTCACTTCAGACATTAGGCAGATCAGTGAGAAAATAGTATCTCAACAAAATTCACAAGTTCTTATAGAAAAAACGATTTTATTTTCAGGAAATACACCTCAAATATATATATTTAATATAAGAAAAGAATCACGTTTTGATAAGGAGAAGGAGTGTTAACATTTATATACCTGGTAGATTTCTGGGGAGCTGTAAGTAATA